TGGTGTCAAATGTTATTTGATAATGGTCCTGTAAAACAGCTTTGAACATTTTAATACATTCAAGACACTACAAACATTCAAGCTGTTGTTGAGAGGATGTTGGCTACGGCTGTTCTAGCCATAGTATCACAATCCACAGACAACTCAACCAATCTCGTGGTCTACATTTGTTTTACAGAGAATGACAGTGTTAGGGGGTACAGTGTACAAGCAAGGGGAAAGAGGGATCAGTAAAAAGCCTCAGGCAGTGTGTATGAGAGCATGGAGCTAGGACAGGGCATAGAGCAGCTTTTATACTCTTTATGGTCAAGCAGACAATTGACATCACTTACAATATGGATGAACAACAGCCATCAGAAGGGCACTAGTAATGTAGTAAATGTCTGACGTTCCAAGTGATCCAGTGAGAGAGGACTCTCTAGTCAGGGACACAGATGCTTCTGCGGCCGACAGTGAGACATCAGAATGGTGTGTTGCCTCCCTCGTGCTAGGGTCAGGGATGTCTTGGTTAGGGTACAGAATATTCTCAAGCGTGACCAGCAGGAGGTCGTCGTAGATGTTGGTATCAATGACATAGGAACAGAAAGGGATGAGGTTCCGAAGAGAGAATAGAGGGAGCTAGGCAGGAAGTTAAAAAGTAGGTCCTCAAGGGTAATGACATCTAGATTATTACTGGTGCTAATAAGAGTAGGAATAGGAGGACAGAGCTGACAAATGTGTGGCCCAAGAGCTGATGCAGTGGAGAAGGATTCACACTTTTAGATCGTAGGAATCTCTTGGGGTAGAAGTGACCTGCATAAGAAGGACTTCAGCGAGGCATTCGGCAAGTTTCCTCATGGTAGACTGTTTAGCAAGGTTAGATGACATGGAATACAGGCAGGACGAGCCATTTGGATACAGAACTAGCTCAAAGGTAGAAGACAGACGGAGGTGGTGGAGGACTGGTTTTCAGACTCGAGGCCTGTGACCAGTGGTTTGCCCACTGGTGCTGGGTCCTCTGCTTTTCATCATTTATATAAATGATTTGGATGTGAACATAGGTGGTTTGCAGATGTCATCAAAATTGGAGGTGTAACAGGTAGTGAAGGTTACCTCAGAGTACAACAAAACCTTGGTCAGATGAGCCAATGGGCCGACGAGTGGCAGATGAAGTTTAATTTAGATAAATGTGAGTGCTGCATTTTGGAAAGGTAAATCAGGGCAGGACTTATACACCTAATGGTAAGGTCCTGGGGAACGTTACTTAACAAAGAGACCATGGAGTGCAGGTTTATAGTTCCTTGAAAGTGAAGTCGTAGGTAGACAGGGTAGTGCTTGCCTTTATTGTTCAGAACATTCAGTGTAGGAGTTGGGATGTTATGTTGTGGCTGTACAGGACACTGGTTAGGCACTTCTGGAATACTGCATGCAATTCTGGGTCTCCCTGCTATAGGACAGATGTTGTTAAATGTGAAAGGGTTCAGAAAAGATTTAGAAGGATGCTGCCAGGGTTGGAGGGTTTTAGCTATCGAGAGAGGCTGAATAGACTGGGGCTATTTTCACTGGAGTGTCAGACGCTGAAGGGCAAGCTTGTAAAGATTTATAAAATCATGAGGGGCATGGATAGGGTAAATGGACAAGATCTTTCCCTTGGGGCAAGGGAGTCCAAAACTAGAGGCATAGGTTTAAAGTGAGAGGCTAAAGATTTAAAAGCGACCTAAGGAACAACTTTTTCATGCAGTGGGTGGTGTGTGTATGGAAGGAACTGTGAGAGGAAGTGGTGGAGGCTGCTATAATTACATTTGAAAGGCATGTGGATAGGTACGTGAATTGGAATTGTTTAGAGGGATATGGGTCAAATGCTGGCAAATGGGAATAGATTAATTCAGGTTATTGGTCAACATGGACGAGTTTGACTGAAGGGTCTGTTTGCATGCTGTACAACTTAGAGAATATGGAAAAGACCAGACACAGCAGCTAAGGGGACAACTATGAAAAGGTGGGTAGTCAACACAGGAGTGTGTTGTACTTAAATACACATAGTACATGAAACAAGCTAAATGAGCTTGTAGCATAGATTTAAATTGGCGAGTATGATGTTGTGGGTTTCACAGCCATGAGGCTGCAAGGGGATCACAGCTGGGAACTAAATATCCAAGGATACATGTTCACTCAAAGGTGGGTAAAGAAGGTGGGATTGCCTTGAGTAAGAAATGATATTAAATCAAAAGCAAGAAGTAACAGTCAGAAGGCAGAAAATCTGTGAGAGTAGAGTTGAAGAACCAAAAAGGTTAAAATAAAAAACAACCATGATGGGAGTTACATGCAGGCCTCCTTGCAGTTGACAAGATGATGTCGGGAAGTAAATAAATCAGGAGATGGAAAATGCATGCAATAAAGGCACTATTACAGTAATATTGGGGGACTTCAATATGTAGGTGGATTGGGAAAATCAGATTGCACAAATTCTTTTTCTTGAAATCTGCTACCAATGTCTGTGAAATGGTTTTTTGGAGCAGTTTGTGGTACAGCCCACTATGGAACTGATGTGTAATGAGCCAGACTTGATTAGTGAGCTGAAGTTGATGAAACCCCAAGGGGACAGTGACCAGAATATGGCAGAACTGACCCTACAAGGGAGAAGATTGAATCTAGCCACAGTTGATTGGAAGAGGACCCTAGCAGGTAAGATGGTATAGCAACAATGGCATGGGTTTCTGGGGGGTGTATTCGGGAAGCACAACAGAAATTTATCCCAAGGAAAATGAACCATATTAAGGGGAGGATGAGGCAACCATGGCCGACAAGGGAAGTCAGGGATAGCGTATAAGCAAAAGCTTACACTTTGGCAAAGACTAGTGGAAAGCCAGGAGGAGGAAGCCTTAAAAATAAAATAACTAAGCAAGTTATAAAGGGAAGAGAAGATGAAATATGAGATAAGCTAGTTTGGAAAACAAGATTGCAAGAGTTTTTTTTTAGAAAGGATAGCTAGAAGGTAAGAGAGGCAACAGTGACAATGGACCACTGGAAAATGAGGTCAAAGCAGTAGTAGTTGGGAACAAAGAAATGGTAGAGGAACTAAATCGGTACTTGGCACCAGAAACACGAGAACTTCAAGAGAGTCAGGGGCACAGATGAAGGTAATGTCCATCACTAAGGAGAAAGTGCTGGGGAAGCTGAAATGTCTGAAGGTGGATAAATCATCAGGAGTGGGTGGATAAATCATCAGGAGTGGGT